CACAACAGTGATTGGACTTATCGAAGGTGGTGATGAGACAGCTTATAGAGACGAGGTCCAGAAAATAACATCATGGAGTTCAGTCAACAACCAGAAGGTGGATCTGTTTCCCCTTAACATCGACGAGGACTGAGTTGAGATGGTCCAACATTTTTTATTTCTGGGCACTTTTATCTCTGCTGACCTCTCCTGGACTGCAAATACTACGGCGGTCATCCAGCATCAACTACTTCCTGAGACTTCTCAGGAAAAACAACATGGGTGAAAAGCTGCTGGTGAATTTCTATCGCTCTTCCATTAAGAGTGTGATGAGCTATTGTATCATACTGTGGTATGCTAGTTGCTCTGAGGCAGATGAGAGAGGGCTTCAGAGAAAACCACCAGAGTGTCAGAAACATGTAATGTATTTTTGCTTTGTTAATAAGAGAATATTAAATCTGTGTTAAATGTTAAATAAGAAGAATGATTTTCCTGACAGTGAGATCATCTAGAAACACTGATGTCTGTTATCATGATGCAGTAGTTCAGTTTTTTATTGTAATATGATTTGATCTGAGATCTTTTCTGTTGCAGCTGTTCCTCATACTGATCACATTCACTCTGAAGGTTCATTCACTCACAACACAATACAAAACTGATCATCTAAATATCTGTAAAAACTAAAACAAACATTGACATTTCCTCCTTTCATGATCATATGATGTGGCATGTTAATTTAAAATTAATTTAATAAAACATAAATCTGATATAGATATAAACATGGATTAAATAGCCTTATTCTTTCTTTTGACAGGCTCATGGCTTTTAGTAGTGCTGGTTTTCACTGGTATTGGTTTATTTCTGTCTGGACTCATGGGATTCTTCTGTCTCTGCCCCTTTGACAGTAAGTTTACATATGCATAAGCTGAGCTCCATCTATATAAGATATAGAAACTTATAATAAAGTGTGTCTGTGCAGGTTCTGATGACGTTCTCACAGAGGTGATCTACAGCTCCTGCCATGTGGAAACAACATCTCTTTTATGCTCCTCAAAACATGGATGAACCGTTTCATTTCTTCACTTCTTGCAAATTTACAGACAACAATTATGTACAGAAAGAATGATAGTTCAGAATATAGCCACTGAATTCATATACTGATCAGCAGGCCAAGGCATCTTGGAGGTTTTTTCCCACATTAGATTTTGGGAGAAGATCATCTTATAATTTACAGTGAATAGCCATAAATCTCTGTGACGCTTCACGTTTGATGTTTTTTTTATTTTTTTATTTTAATAATTATGTTTCTTAGTTTTTTGTTATTAGTTAAGTACATCAGGGTTTTATGTTACATCTTATGTTGTTTAATGATTATTGTAATTTATTTAGTGTCATGTGCCTGACACTGCATTCACCTTCTATATATTAGTATTTACTTCAGCTTATGGAAAAGCTACTTGGAATGAACTTTAATTCATGTGACTTTCTCTTTACTGCTTGTGTTATGGTGGATGTCGGTATATGTTAAAAGTACAAAATTAAAAATTACAAGATTTTAATAGCAGTGTGACCTTGCTAATTCAGGAGAAAAGAGCTGTTAGATTTACTGTTTGAAATGTGTGTTGTTGTTGTTTTACTGCATTTTTACAGAATAATCGCAACCACAGCTTTGTAATAATGACAGGATTTTTTTTTGCAGTGTTATTTTCTGTTAAACAACTGTCCATTCAATGAGTAACTGAACCATTTGACTTTTCGTTTTAGTCCAAAGATGAAGTAGATAGACAAGGTAAATCAAAATAACTTATTAACAAAAGCAAAACTATCCGATATAATAACACAAACAAAACAATGTGCAATGCACAAATACCAGAAAATGAACAGGAAGCTGAAGGGTTTAAATACACAGGGTGATGAACAACTAAAGACTGGTGGGAACAAAGGAACACAGGGAACAGGTTAATAAGAGAAACAAACTAAAAGTCCATAAAAACGAAAGTAAAACAAAGGCAGAATGTGACGGTCTGTTGCTTTCATGCATCAAAGAGTAAACATGTACCTAATAAAGTGACCACTGAGTGAATAATATATTCCACAATCCACATTATTAATTTTAATATTATGAGTCTTTCTTAAAGCCTTAAAGTCCATTATTTTTGGCACATTGTTACTTTTACAAAATAACTTCCCTCTGGTGAGCCTACAATTTTTTTTTACATTTGCCCCAGATCTGTTGAACGTGGTCTCATGATGTACGTTCATCTTCATAAAACTGACTGCACAAGCATTACATTGTTGCGGTCTGATGTGTTACTTCCTAATTCAACTATTGTGTGAGTCTCGTCTCTTTTCTCACTCTCGCTGTAATGGAGTTGTTCATCTTCATAGTTGTTCAGCTTCTTATGGAGGTTCAGACTTACAGTAAGTGATCGTTTAATCTCGATTAAATACTAAATGTAAAAAAAAAAAAAATAGTTAAAAAAGTAAAATTTTCTAAAATATTTCAGCATGTGTGATATGTTTGTGTTTCAGTAGACCAACAACATGAACCTACTGTACAAATCTCTCTGCTTTAAGGCATATTTGTTTTACATTAGCAATGCCATTAAAATGTATTAAACTGTCTGTTATTACCCGATTAAACAAATATTTGGGTAACTAGTAATAAGTATATCTAAATTAATTGGACATGTAAATGAGTTATTTGGAAAATCCACTATTTATTAACATGCACACATGTTCGTATGAAAGTAATTCTGGATGTTACCAGAAATTGAGAAAAGTGCAGCTATCGAAAATATACATTTTAGGAAAAGTAGAAAACAATTAAAAATTTTCCCATAGATTTTATAGTTTGGGCTGTTGTAAAGATATTAATGAGTTTAAGGCCGGTTTCAGAGACAGGGGTTTGATTAAGCCATGAGTATAAGCTTTAGTTAAATTATGACACAGTGAGTAGCTTTTATAAACCTTAGCAAGAAAAAAAAAACATTACTGGTGTGCATCTTGAGACAAAACAATGGCACTGACATATTTTAAGTGCAAGTTGCTTTCAGTTAAGAGCTCAAACACATTTTTGTCTAGGTTAAGACTAGGTTTAGGCCTTGTCTGTGAAACTAGGCATTAATTTGACCGTAGTTGGAAAATGATGCATGTAAATATGATCATTAAGGAGATGTAATGATTGATTTGTCTGTTTTTGGTTGTTTCAGAATCTCCTGCTGTAAGAGTATTTTCAGATGAGCTAAGTGAGTCCAGCTCAGTGACGATGATCTGTGAGCCGCCAGGAAATGTTACAGTGAAACAGTGTAATTATTACCCAAACAGAGAAGAGAAGAAAATAAAAGTCAGTTGGAAGTGTGAACTCGAGCTCACTGGTGTTGAAGTGCTCAGATGGGCAGATGTAAAATCACCTGCATCAGTCGACATTTACTGCTTCTATGAGTGGGGCAATAATAAATCACCTCATTCTCCTGCTGCCACAGTGACGGTTCGAGGTGAGAGATTTCACTGCTGTTCTTCTGGGTTAGAAAACGTTACTGTAATGTGTTTAGTAACTATGGATTATTTCACTTTAGACAGATTGACTTGAGAAACCCACCATCAGTATTAGTGACTGATGCTACACATAGGACACTTCTAGACAAATACTATTTATAAAGACCCTTTCAACCGGCTGTATAATGCAACACTGAAAGGACAAATACACTAAATATAAGAAAGAGTTGAATATGGTTAATTATAATCCCTGAGGTGTGTTGATTTTAATGTGTTTAGTAACTATGGATTATTTCACTTTAGACAGATTGACTTGAGAAACCCACCATCAGTATTAGTGACTGATGCTACACATAGGACACTTCTAGACAAATACTATTTATAAAGACCCTTTCAACCGGCTGTATAATGCAACACTGAAAGGACAAATACACTAAATATAAGAAAGAGTTGAATATGGTTAATTATAATCCCTGAGGTGTGTTGAGACTCATTGTGGGTCGGGGTCAGACTATGAAATCAGAAACATGTTAAAGCTGATTCTACAGCAGTTGTGGACAGTGTGAATCAGTAGACAGTAATCTGTGATGACAGACAGACGCTTAACTACAGTGAGACTTTGGCAAGTGAACAATTTGATATATTTAGGCAGGAAGGAAGTCACAAGCTGATCATGTGATCAAGTCCAGATGTCAGAGAGCCAGACTATTTCTGACAAATCTATAGAAGGTAATTGGGTCATTCTTTTCTACAGCTACTTTTGAACTCTGTGACAAAAATTAATACATGTTAATGTTAAATAAATAAATAAATGTTGAAGTCAGAAATATTTAAATTAAAATTTCTTTCAGAAACATGCTTATTTATTCTAAATTGATTAATTGTGGGACAGGATTAAAATAAAGAGCAATTGCTCAGTGAGTGATTGACAGCTTACATGAGTGTCAGCTAACCGTTGAAGCGTTAATATTATCATACAGATGTTTGTATTTTGTTGAATCAATACCACAAAACTTTACCCAGGAAATACAGTTCTCGCGGGAGCACAATTTGAATTTGCTCAGCGAGTCATTCTGGCATTGAGTAATGATGCTCATTAACTGTGCCCTTGTAGCCGAGCTGCACCAATCACATCGGTGTATCTGATATAGGCGGGCCAGGGGCCGTAGTGTTATCCAATTGCGTGCAGTGAGATTTTCAATTGCATACTTGGTGCCGCCCCTCGAGTTGGGCGATTTTCATTACTCAATGCCAGACCCTTAATCTTTTGGATTTGGGTCTGGATTTCCAGGCTAACAAAACATCACAGAAATTATTAAATCAATTGCTGCTACATATGTTTATGGAGTTGTTTTCCCTCCAAAATTACACATTACAAAAGGACCAACAGGATTAAAGTTAAGAGAGTTTTTGCAACTTTATAAGAGTCACCTGCTTCTTCATTGTATTTGAAGGACCTGTATCTTCAACAAGCAAATTTGGCTTTAAAGCTTGCCAATAACGCTGGTAATTTGTCTCTGCAGTTTCAACAACAGCCTCCACTGCACATCCGACTACAACAGCCATGACAACCTGTGAGTAACTGAGTTTGTAAATCAAAAAAGCATTATTATTACTCCACCTTAAATGTCTTTGGAACGAAAAACTTTATTCCTTGTATATGATTACTTGTTGAACATTTACTACTGTACAAGACAGCAAATTTCACAATGTCTTTTCAACAGCATTAACTGTAAGGTCCACTTCTGAAACCACAACATACAGTAAAACTGGTAAGTACTGATAACATTGTTAGGTTAGATCAAATTTCAGAAACTATGTTTTTTTTTTTTTTTTTGGTTATATTAGTTGATCTCCCTTCCCTTAAAGTGACTGTAGAATATGTTGGATTCAAATGTCAGGTTCAAAAATATATCTGGGATTCATTTAAAGTTTATTCATACATCTGTAACTCTAAGAGGAAGTGCTTGAAGGTAAGTGGGAAGTACAGAGAATTCAACAAACACAAGGCTCATGATTGTGCTGCTTTTTCAACATGGTTAATAATTGCTAATGAATTATGTGAATATTTTTTTAAACATTCTATTTTAATACTATACACGCTGTGGCACTGTTTTTTTCTGCAGTTTTCTTGGCAACCTCTACTCTACGTGGTAACAGAAATATGTCAGAACATGGTACGTATTTAGATGGCAAATTGCCACGGAAATGTTAAAATTGTTTTGCTCCAAAATCTATTTTTTACACACACACACACACACACACACACACACACACACACACACACACACACACACACACACACACACACACACACACACACACACACACACACACACACACACACACACACACACACACACACACACACACACACACACACACACACACACACACACACACACACACACACACACACACACACACACACACACACACACACACACACACACACACACACATGTTGTGTTTTCATGTTTTATGGGGACTTTCCATAGACATAATGATTTTTATACTGTACAGACTGTATATTCTATTCCCTTACACTAACCCTATCCCTAAACCTACCCATCACAGGAAACATTCTGCATTTTTACATTTTCAAACAACATCACTTAGTATGATTTATAAGCTGATTTCCTCATGGGGACCAAAAAATGTCCCCACACGAACAAGGATTTCGGATATTGCCATCCTTGTGGGGACATTTTGTCCCCATGACGTAGGGTTTACCAGGCCACACATACACACACACACACACACACACACACACAAACTAAAAGATAATTTTAGATCTGCTATCATGGTTATTTCTACAATGATTAGTTCAGTACCACATTAAGATTTATGCCAGTCTTTGTAAAGACACATTTTATTTTATGTACAACTTAAGATGTTCTCACTGGAGTTTCAACAGCAATATCCACTCAAAGAACTTCACAAACGAACACAGAAACATGTGAGTAAAGTTTAGTGTACCTGACAATAAAAATATTCTTTCATAGTGTTTATTGTAATTCATATAGTTAATTATTTTACCATTTTAATTTCAGCAACAATGGCTGCCATTTCCACTAAAACCCCAGCATCCACCAGAACTGGTAATTTTTATAAATATCTGTATATTACATTTATATTATATAAATATATTCCATTTAAGAAAAAAATATTTTTTACAGTGACTTCATTAAACACTGAAACATTGGTGTGTATATTCATCATGTATCATTCGAGTTCTTTCTGTCGCAGAGGTTTCTAGTGTTCACACTCCAACAGCTGATCCTAAAGATCCACACACACCACAATATACAGGTTTTTATTATAAATCCTTTTCCATATTTGAAATGATTTGACCATGGCATTCTCTTCCAGATCTCTGTAGAACATTTACTTCTTTCCAAGCACACAACAAATGTAAAACAAATCTACATGTATCACTTCAGTTGTCAGGTGGACTGATGTATATAAAGCACTTATATTAATCATCATACTGCACATAAACATGTATTAAAGTGTTGGTTTTGTTTGACACAGGCACATGGTTTATAGTGCTGGTTTCCACTGGTGTTGCTGTCATTTTGACTGGATTCATCTGTCTATGTCGGTTTGCAAGTAAGTCAAATTTATAATTGTACACACGCTGTTCAATAGAAATTATCATGTGAGATCATTTATCAAGTGAATTTTGACCAAAATGCTGTACAGGAGTAAAAACTGAACATAATGCAGTAGCTCATTGTTTTCTAGGTAAAGAACGAAGAAAACAGTAAGTTTTATTTCATGCACTCAATTTCATAGTCTGTGATATGTATTGGAGGCAGACAGCGTTATTTTAGTTTCATTGATATGCTAATATAGTTTTTTGTAGTCTAGGAGCTGTGTGTGCAAATGTTTATCACATTATCTGATATATTGATGATATCGGATTATCTATAATATTGTCATGTTTATCTTTTTCAGTTTAACTGTTACCTATTCAGTTTATCCATTTTGTTTCTTTGTCTACTGTCATGTTTTATTTGTATCATAATGTAAAGCGACCTTGAATTTGCAAGATAAATTGCTATATAAAATAAACATATTATTATTATTATTATGCATGCATGCATAAAAATATGCCATAAAGATCAATAATTTGATTCTTATAGCAATAAAATAAGATTAGTAAGATCAGATGAGCCCAGTCAAAGATTTGGTATGGTGAGTATCTTTGAAATTATTTTTTTAAATCACAAAGTAATAAATATTTATATTAATAACATAATGAATAAGAATGGCTGAAATGGACATGACCTTATTTATTCTTTATGCCTTTTAGAGTTGTTCTGGACCTGCAGAGGCATATTCTCTGATCACTTCTGTACCAGCCACATCTCAGCCCATCTCTGTAGGTGAGAGAACATCATTCTCAGTAAATGATCTCAGACAACGTGAAGCTTAGTAACAGATGTCACCAAGAAAAATAAACCTGCTAAGTTAAAAACACCACAGTGACCACAGCTTCTCAGTAACTGCCTGGTACCATTTCCTCTTTCAAGTCTTCAGCAGATCAGCATTATTAGACACATCTTTTCTTATAGGAACAGCTCACGCCAAAATGAAAATCATTTACTCACTTTCTTGCTGTTTCGAAACTTGTTCTTCTGTGGAACACAAAATGCAGAATGTTTGCACTGCCAATACATTAAAAGAAGCCGTGATGAGGGGCCGAAAAGCTTCTAAAATGACAAGTTTCTATCTTTAGGAGAAGCCATTTCACATTTGTCCTCTTTTTTTGGGTGGTTTTCTATTGACTCTGTTTGACCCTCTTCATCATGCTGTTCTTCCAAAGACCTCGAACACCCAGAGTCCCATCAGGACAGCACACCAGATCCCACAGCGACTTACTCTTCCATTACGTCTGAGAATTCAATTTACCAGCCCTCAGGTAATAAAATGTTTCTTTCATTAAAGTGGTCATTTCAAGAATGAATCAAATTGTTCTCGTTCTTTACTATAAAAACATCCTCACTAGTCCAAAAACAGCATTTTTGATGCTCGCATATAAGCATTGTGAGAGAAGAGATGATTCTGCTGTGCAAAAATACATTCAAGTTTTATAACAGAGAGCTTGTTCATGGTGGTCAAAACATGTTATCTAAAGTGAAATGACGCTTCTGCTCTACAGAAGTTTTGGTCAATACTCAACAGAAAGAGGACAATACAGAGGAAAATGAGGTAATATGTGAACAGTCACACCACAAACCCACATACACAAATGAGAAGTCCATCATGAACAGATTACAAACATTTATTTTGTCTGTCTTGTCAATCTTTCTGTGGTCGTCCTTAAGAATGTTTACCACCTGTACTGCACGATCCCTGACAAACCAGTTCACTCAAACGCAGGAGATCAAGTCTACAGTTTGGTGAAGATGCACTGATGAGTCTCAAGTCGTGTTTCATTATGTACATTTATTATAAATAAACTATCTTTACTTGCTGACAAAAGTTTTTATTTTCATCATTTAGTGTTTGGCGTGAAATGCATTATGACCTCTGTGACCAAGCAGAAGACTTTCTCTGGCAAGGCTCTCTAGCCCAATACACAAAAAGTGCTTGGGATTCACTGCAGAGACAATGGACGTCCAGCCTAAAACCTACCCACACCCCTACCCCTAAACATAACTGGGGCAAGCTCCACCCATATTACGTCCAGAGAGGGGGAGCTAGATGTCATTTGCAGTAAATTGCACTTGCATATTCACATGCTGAGACAGTCACAGAAACATTGTGTGGTGTATAATAGCTCCCCCAACCCCTCCTCCTCCAACATTCATGAGGAGCGTTTCTGATATTTGTACGCTGCAATATTAATACCAACAGTAGCCTGCTAATTAAAGTGATATTTCCAAACTAAATGGACATTGTTGAATTCTCTTTGCTGATTCAGTGGCGACCTCTACTGGCGAAACTCTGAAAACAGCCACAGAATCTACAGCTCCTGCAGGTGCAAACATCTCTTTCATGCTCCTCAAAACATGGATGAACCATTTAATTTCTTCACTTGTTGCACCTCTAAAGAGAAAAAAATATATACAGTATGTACAGAAATAATGATAGAATATGTTGGCTATTGTATAGCTATTCAATTCATATACCCCCCCAAATATCTTCTTTTGTGTAAAGCAGAAGAAAGAAATTCATACAGGTTTGCTAATCAACTGGAAATGTTTATTTTGTATTAGGTACATCCATGCAGCGAGATGTTTCAAAAAGTGGTGGGGACATCATGTCCCACACGTAAATTACGCCAATGCCTGTAGTGCCCTCTGTTACAGTGAATACAGCTGAACATGTGGTCTCATGATGTACGTTCATCTTCATAGCACTGACTGCATTATATGGTTTCCTGTGGTCTAATATGTTACTTCCTAATTCAACTATTGTGTGAGTCTCGTCTCTTTTCTCACTCTCGCTGTAATGGAGTTATTCATCTTTATTGCTTTTCAGCTTCTTATGGAGGTTCAGTCTTACAGTAAGTGATCTTTGTCGTTTAATGTTAATTCAACAATGAATGTCCACATTTGTAGTGAAAAAACATTTGTCTAAAATACAGAATTTAAGCATGCGTGATCAGTACGTTTGTGTTTTAGTAGAACAGAGCAGACACATGAACCAACCTTGAAGCAGTTTTACTTTAGCTATGTCATTAAAATTTATGAAAATGATTGCAATAACCTAATTAATCCATTAATTAGAATTATGAGTCACGTAAACACCTTATTTGGTGTACAAGAAAATGCATTAATACATCTGCACATATAAACGTTATTCTGGGAGCTACTGTATGCTGATAAAAGCTATCAGAATCAAATGCATTTTTGAAGTGCATAAGAAAGAGACTTTCTTTTCTTCTTTTTGTTTGTGCCAAACATTAAAAGAAATTAAAATGGACTTAAAAGGACTTTAAAAAACCTTTGAGGAAAATCAAGTTTTTAATGTTGTTCATCATGTCCATAATAAAGGCTAGATGTCTTATGGCGGAGTCTCTATCATCATCATCGTCGGCCATCTTGTCACAGGCAAGCTTTCTGGCGGGCTCTGTGGTACCTGATGTAAGATGAGTGATCAGCACGAACACAAATACTCTTATCTCGTTGAAATCTTGACGGATTTACAAACGGTTTGGTTTCTTACAAACGTTAATTCTGGATTAGTGATGCACCGATGTGAAAATTGTGGCCGATAACGATATTAATATTGCTGTTATGGCTGATACCGATATTTACAGATGTCGACATCTCTGTATAGAAAACACATAGCGAGGATTAGGGCCGCACGATATTGGTAAAAAATGACATTGCGATATTTTATTTTTCTGCAATATATATTGCTATATAAAAAACAATTTCACCAGATGACTTGAATAGCTCTATTTGGAATGAATGAATCATTCTAGAATGACTGGGGTGGTTTTGTCATGGAGTAAATCCACATAGAAACTAATATTAATAGAATATTATTGTAAAGTGTTTCCGATTTATGTCTCTTGAGTTCAGTGTTGGACAGATCAGTTGTTTTAACCATTCATTAAAGTGATCCGGTTCAGACTTCAGTAGTTCGCGAATCGGACGTGTCATTAACGGACCACGGCACACGTTGTGTTATTATTATCCAGGCAGTTTAGGATATCGCACAAGATTTGTCTCAACACAGAAAACATTTCATCACTAGATAGATTTTTTGTTTTGTTTGTTGAAAGTGTGGTTTATGTCATCTGAATGTGTGGAAAGCTTTTCAGGGAAGATAAGGCAACGTTATTTTAGCACAATTCAGTTCAAAAAAAAAAAAAAAGGTCTTCCGAGCCTTTACCATCGTGTATTCTCAAAGATATCCAGTCAACTCAATTCTTTAAAGCTGCAGTAGGGAGTTTTAAGAAAACGTTGACTTAGCCTGAAAATTTGAACAAGCACAACTTGCAGGTCCCACCCCCTTGCTCTCTGCTGCGCTACAGCCCTCCCTCCACAGCTCGTCCTCCACAGCGGAGCCTGTCGTGAACGCGCAGGCTAGGAAACAGGGCCACCGATGACGGCGGATAAAAAGTTATATGGCACATTCACTAATAGGGACTAAACGTCAATAATATGCTTTACATTGACTATGGCCTGCCCATACTTTGACTACAAACCTGGTCCTCAAATCATTATGTATTTTCCAATAGCCTACATGTAACTTTATCACGTTGCACTCTTTCTATAAGTAATAAATAGCTAGTAAGATAACGTTAATATAACGGTAACTAACGTTACAGTATGTAAGTAATTATTCTAGCGATATATAATGCTAGATAAGGTGTGCTAGTACATTATTTCAGCAACATGACAAGCCAGTGAATTAGCAGGTTTCAATTGTTGCTTAGCAGAGTGCGTGACATTTTATCTAAATGTTATGCGGCTAGAGTTTTGACACCGAGTCAATGGGCTCTGTGTAATTCTTTCTTTTTCGCTTGTTTATCGTCATCGGTCTTTTTCCTTTTACCTCTTTGTTTTATGAGCAGGTGTCACTCGAGAATTGGCAGTTTAGGTTGTTTCTCCGTCATAAGCACAGCTGCAGCTCGCCGGCAATCTTGAGTTTGAACGACGGCTCGCGCTCCGGCGCTCGCGCTGTGCAAGAGAGGGGTGTGATCAGCGCGTACACGAGCGTGATTGACAGTGCTAAGACATGCCTCCTGGCTCTGATTGGTTGTTTCTGACCGGGAGCGTGTATTTCATGCAAATGGCAATAGGACCACTGGGAGGAGCCAGAGGAGCTTGATTTTTACACAGATCATCTGTCTTTATTCTACTGTCAGGACATAATGACAGTTTTAGCAAATACATGTTTTCAAAAGTTACCTACAGGAGCTTTAATATGCGCGAGGGAGGGAGAGAGTGCAAGACGCGCGCGCCAGTTAAACAACCGCAGCAGTCACTCATCTACACCGGTCAAATAAGGCTTCGGCGTGACAAAAATACGCCTTAGTAAGGCTGACAGAAAACAGCGCGCAAGTTCCATTCTTCTTGCGCTTGATGTTTAAACTGACAGGACTTCCGCTGGTAATGTATGCGCTCCTGCAAAAACAACCCCGCCCCCAGACTCACATCTACACACACGTCAAATACACAGGAATGATTATCGGCCTGTTCATATCGGCCCTATTTTGACATCGGAAGGATACCGATGTGTAAAAAATTGACCATATCGGCCGATATTATATCGCATGTTAATCACCACTATTCTGGATGATTATTTATTTATACACTTGTTATTCAAAAGTATGCAGTGTCATAACTACATCTCTGACGTTTATAACAAACCAAACCGTTTAAAAATCCGTTGAAAATGTAGCAAGTTATGGTTATTTAAAAAGTACATGCACCATTAAAAGACAATGCCTGTGACAAGATGGCCGCCAGGTGCGGACCAGAGTTTCTGCTAGAAAAAAATGGTGCCGGTCAAAGTGACCGGCAGAGGTTTCGTTTAACGGACATTTTGATGATATGCCGGTCAAATATCGCCTCTTAATTAGTCAAGTTAAGGAAAACTGGAGGCAGGCTATGTAACTTAAAAAATGACATAATCAGGCCATATAGAATGCAACATGTTATTATTAGCCTAACTTTCAAATAGACGGAAAAAAACATGAACGTCCGATTGGCGTCAATCAACACCAATTGTTTTTTACTATGGTTTCACACACATTCACTTTTTGAAACATTGAGGCACGATGTACCTAATACAAATAAATAAAACATCTCCAGTTAACTATCAGATCATTCATTTAGTTCGCTATTAAATAAGAGATCTAGCGCTAAAATCAGTTGTTTTTGAAATCAAGCTGAGCGCTCGTGTCCGCTGCTATCAATTGCATGGACGACGCGCTGCGCGAGTTGCACGTTTCAATCTATCGCCATTGCGGAGACTCTACACTGTATTATTTATTAATCCAGGCAAATTTGTTGATGAAACATTGATTAAAATGAAGATACAACTTATACAAAACGAAATAAACTTTAAAGAAAGGCTTTCTACAAAACAAAACTAAATAAGTGGTCAAAATCTGACCCATTCCATATGTTTTCCGATATATTCCGGTCATCTTATGATCCTATCTTACTCATCTCATGCGGTTCCCTTTTCATATAATCAACATAGATGAAATAAAAAAATAATAACATTATATTATTTTATAAATATGAAACGTATGTTTAAGTTTTTTAATAATAAGCGTCACACCGCTCCGCTTTGCTCACATGCTCTGGTGTGTAGCCTAATGCATGTGTGCGTGCATGTGGTGGAGGGGTGCGATTTTCGAATAATAATCAACCCAGCGATCTTCGAGTATTATTTTTGCTTGAAAATGTCATTTTGTATAAATTGTATCTTAATTTTAATCAATGTTTCATCAACAAATTTGCCTGGATTAATAAATAAGAAGCAAATATAGTGGACAATATAGCAGGACACGG